TCTGACATGTTCACTAAAACATATTAAAGTTTCAGAGATATAATATTTTTTGTTTTGGAGTAATAAGGATTGAAAGTATCCATGCTCACAGATATTCACAATAAACCCTATTATACTGTATACAATACATGCAATATGCACAGTACAACATACATCTTCCACATGTTTTTTTGTTTTAGTCACATCCATCCTAAATGTCAGCAGTACTTGAATAGAAATAAAATGACAAGTTCATATAGGCCTAAAGGGTTAACAGGATGTATGGCTTTAGACCTCTGAGTCGGTTCTAGGATAATTACCCCCTGGAAAATTCACCCCCTGAAAACTACCCTCTAAGGACAATTACCCCAGAGGTCAATTACCCCCCCCCCTCCCCTATAATCTATTCCAAACTGATAATAAGGTGGTTATAATCAAAGCAGATTTATTTTTTGGGGTATATTATTCTTGAGGGGTAATTTTTCCCGGGGGGGGGGGGGGGGGGGGGGGGGGGGGGGGGGGGGGGGTAATTGTCCTAGGGGGAAATTGTCCGGGTGTTGATTGTCCTCGGGGGGGGGGGGGGGACAGATTGTGCTAGGAGGTAATTTTCTGAGGGGTAATAATCCTCTGGGTGTGATAGTCCTTGGGGGTAATTGTCCTCAGGGGGGGGGGGAATTTCCTGAGGGTTAATTTTCCAGGGGGGTAATTATCCTAGAACCGACTCAGAGGCCTAAAGCCATTAACCCTTTAGGCCTATATGAACTTGTCATTTTATTTCTATTCAAGTACTACTGACATTTAGGATGGATATGCCTAAAACAAAAAAGCATGTGGAAGATGTATGTTGTACTGTGCATATTGCATGTATTGTATACATTATAATAGGGTTTATTGTGAATATCTGTGAGCATGGATACTTTCAATCCTTATTGCTCCTAAACAAAAAATATTATATCTCTGAAACTTTTACATGTTTTAGTGTACATGTCAGAGATTACATTTCATGAAAAATGTTGTCAAAATTACGTGATCCACAAGGTCAATTTCAAGGTCAAATCTGAGGTCAAGAGGTCAAAGTACCCCAACATGTACGAATCTTCAAAATGGTGGCAGAATTGGAATCCTTATTGAATACCCTTTCCAACAATACAAATTTTGTGAAGATTGACCCATTAGGTCCCGAGATACAAGGGTTCAAAGGTAGGCCCGCCACCCCCATTTTTGAAAAAATCTCAAAATTTGGTGGGCCGTATCTCCCAAACCCCTCACCCGATTGACCTAAAATTTTGGATTTGGTGCTGTGAGATCACACTCAACAAGTACACTAAGTTTCATCAAAATCAAAAATGGTCGGGTTAAAACCATTGGGTGATTTGACATGGAATGACCCTGAACAAGCTTTCTCAAGATTGGAGACAAAGGACCGGGAAGAAACTGCAAGGCCTAGAAAGTGCCCACTTTAGGAGTGTTAGAATGGGCTCGGGCAGAAATGAAAGTAAAATAGCTTTCTCAAGATTGGAGACAAAGGACCGGAAAGAAACTGCCAGGCCTGGAAACTGCCCACTTCCGGAGTGTTAGAATGGGCTCGGGCAGAAATGAAAGTGAACAAGCTTTCTCAAGATTGGAGACAAAGGACCGGGAAGAAACTGCCAGGCCTAGAAACTGCCCATTTCAGGAGTGTTGTAAAGAAGAGAGCTCAGCATTTCTTGGAGAAGTCCAAGTACAGGTCTCTGTTCAATGTCCTACTTCAATCAACAGCTGTCACAGATATTATGACAATCCCAACTAAGATCCAAGTGAGGAGGAAGATGGCATACAATACTTGGCACAATCAATCAAGCTATAACAAAACCAAGGTGAGGACAGGGATGGCTGAAACAGAGAAATTCCCCAAAAGAAGGATGATTACATGGGGGGGGGGGGGGGGTTCAGGGGTAGCACCCCTGGTTAAGGGGGCAGTGCACCTTTCTCGCAGAAAAAATTAGAATATATAAACGTATAAGGACACGTTTTCCTTGCATTTACATTATAAATTTGAGAAATATTTAAAGGGACTCCCATAACATTTTTTGGATGGAAGAAATATTGAATTGCCAAAGGAACAGCCAGGGGATTCCGTCCATAAATTTTTAAAATCTCAGCGGGACGGGGCAACCGGCGCAACAACTCCTCTTCTTGACAGTACTTCTAACCAGACAGGTTTCGAAAAGATGGCAGAGTCAATGACTGAGATGGCAAAGGCCATTATGCAACAAAACATGACGCAGAGACTTGCTGTTGCTAGTCAACTTCCAAAGTTGGAAATACCTGCATTTAGCGGCATTCCTCTGCATTTAATACCGACTTTGGAAAATGCTTTTTAAAACTTGGTTGACTCCAAACCAAACCGCTTGTCGGAGCTACCAAGCCGAGCTACTTGAATAGCTACGTACATGTAGCAAGAGAGCCAAAGACGGTCGTCGAGCATTACATCTTGCGAGGCACAGACGAGGCATATTTCTAAGCAACAAAACTGTTGCAAAAAAAATATGGCAGTGGCAGTATCATCAGTACAGCATTTTCCAAGAAGCTGGGCACCTGTCCACATATCTTTGACAAGGATCCTGGAGGACACCATCAATTCTCAGACTTTCTAGAGCAGGTGGTATCAGCTAAGTCTACCGAGTCATCCTTGGGGATATTGGAACTATCCCAAGAAAATATAAAGATGTTGCACAAACTACCACTGACATTTTGTTGCTATTACTTAATGACTTGCCATTCACTGAACTTCCATAACCTGCAACCATGCAAAATGTAAAGGTGGTAGGTGACATCTCCATTCTCAATGTTAAAGAGTTGGAACCAATTTCTTGTAAATGCTCGGGTATCTGCTGGTACAAAACAGGCTGACGGATGTGTTCTTGCAGGAGTGCAAGCCACCCCTGCACACTGTGATTTTACAACAGGAAAAGTCACCCGTCCACCAAAAATCAAATGATTCTAAATTACTAGAATATCAAAGTTTGGAAAATGAGGATTTATTTAATGTTGAGGTTACATTCTTATGCACTTGGACAGATAAGGACATTACGAAAGACATTGTTCATGCATGTATCACCAATAAGAAAAGACGGGAAAAGGCAAAGTCTTCCACTGGACACAGGTGATCGAGTCCTTGTTCGCAATCATAAGCGTGTTCCAGGACCAAACAAGCTCCAGTCCTATTGGGAACCAGACGTGTACAGGGTACTCAAGAAAGTAGGAGACGACTTGTCTGTCTATCCAGTCATGCACGAGGATGGAACTGGTCCTTCAAGAGTCCTACATCGCAACAAGCTGCTGCCATGTGCAGGTTTTCTAGTGCCTGATGGAGATCAACCCACAGGTAAAAGTGAAGAGAGGGCCCCTCCTCTGCGACGAACCAGAGCCAGTAAATCCCTGCCCACCCACATGTCATGGTCTTCAACTGAATTTGGGATACCGCAAGGGTCCATTATTGGACCACAATTGTTTACTTACTACATTCATTGTATAGGAAACATCATAAGTCAGCATTCAATTCAACATCATGTATATGCAGATGATATTCAGATGTTTACCATGTTTGATCCTACCAAGCCTGGGGATGCGGTATGTGCGTATTTACGTCTCTCGAAGTGCTTAGAAGACATACAGGCCTGGCTTGTCATGTCTAAGCTAAAGTTAAATTCTAGCAAAACAGTGTTTGATGGGGAGATGAAAATGTCTGTATTTCTGACACAAAAAGTTTAAATGTGTCCATTCTTATGCAGCAGTTGATCATAATATGACCCCCACTCCAGAATATGAGGTAACCTAAAAAAACATGTAGGGTAGTACCAGAACCAGTTATCAATAAACTAAACAAATATTCATAGTTGAAAATATTCAAAACAGATCAATATCAAAGTATAAATCATTTACTGCAAATACAGTTTTTCATTAAACTATTCAAAACAAATACTTAAAGACCTTATCCGATGAAAATACAACTTGATATAAATGGAAAACTGAATTGAATGTAGGATACAAATATAAAGGAACAAAAAGTAATTACCCTTTTATTATTGCACACAAGCAAATTAAAACCTCTTTTTCCGCAACCCTCCAAATTAAGGGTCAACAGGGGTAAAATTTGCTGAAGTAATGGTTTCCTTAGGCCGGGAAGAGAAGGCCAAAATTCTGTCGCTAGGAAACAAGCACAACGTTAACCAACAATTGTTCAAGGATGCGATAGGTAAGCCTACATGTCGTCACTAATGACGACATAACATCCCGACCCCATCGATTCATCTATTGCTGAAGCAATGAGCCGTGCTGAACTAAAACAAAGTGATTGTGAATATGCATACTCCACATAAGATGATGTCATCAAGTCAATAGCAATTATTGTTGTTGATATTATTGTAATCTATGGCTTATAAACTTTCAGTTGATGTATAATATATCCATTTCATTTTTCAATTCAGAATTTGGATATGGTCTTTAAATACTCATCTTTGGTGACACTTCGTGTTACAAATCAAATACAAACACACTAGTAGCACACTGCATATTCCTGAGTTGGCTTAATATTTTCCGTCATGGAAAAATGGTGTCTAGAGTAGATCATTCCCTATTTTTCCAACATGCAAGTATCTTTAAAGAACACAGGGAATTACAAATACACATTGTCTGTAATTTTCCAAAACTCATAGTATAAAATAATTGAAACAAAAATGCTACATTACCCTTGTTACAAATTACAGTAAAACCTGTCTTAGTGGCCACCTCTCTATATAGGCCACTTGTTCAAAGTTGCCATTATTTTGTCTCCCTCGAGAACAAAATGTGTCTTTTTGTAGAACCCATCTAGAAAGAACACCTGTCTACAATGACCACTCTTCTGTTTCCCTTGGATGGCTTAAATAGACAGGTTCGACTGTATTACAAATACCCTCTGTGTCGTATAATACATTCAACTGATAAATATAATTGTTGATGACTATTATATAGCTCCATATATATTTGAAATAATATATTAATTCTTTGGACCAATTGGGTCCAGTAACATACAAATGTCTTCAAAATATAATTTGATAGATTTATTTGCCCAACACCATTTGGACATGTCTGCTTACAGAGCATCCTTGCTCCTGTACTCACACAACTCTTAGGGAAGCTTTGACCCTTGTTTCAAAAGAAGTTGCGCGTTACTATGGTAACCAGTCTTGTCCAAAGCGGTACTCTCCTCTCAGGTTGCGTGAACGTGTCGGCTGTTACTTTCTCTGATCTTGCATACAGACGCTCATGCTCCTGAAATGGAAGAAAAAAAATTGGGAAAAGGGTAATCATTGACAGGTTCTCACACATACTGCTTTCCCTTCTACTTTCTTAATATTTAGTTTTTCATCTATTTTGATTATTCAAAGGCTTTACATCAATAAGTGTGTACTACATAACCAACCTTTCATAATTGCTCAGTGAAAATGGTCATACTGCATCGTCATAGTGCACCAGCAACAGCTATGGCATCGGTCTGAAGTAGCTTGCAATATGGCAAGCAAAAGCTAACCAAAACAGGCAATTTTTCTATTGATCGTGAAGGAAGAATTAATATAACAAGGGAAACGCTCTTGGGCGGTCTCGCCTGCATTACGCAATTCGATACGATGAAAATTGAGGTTGGAACATTATTTATAGGCAGGGTGGCCCATTGGCAGGTCCAAAAAAATAAAATCCTCTGAATATAATCAGCATTTTGAAGTGAATTTTGACTAAGAATCATGAACAAATAACAAAAATTGATTCATTTATTCTCATATCAAGTTGTGAAAACATAATTCAAGACTACTGATCTAAAATGACCTTTGATCTTGTGACCTGGAATTTGTGTCATATTATTTGTGATACTTGATAACCCTTGGGTACAAGATTCATGGATTAGAACAAACACTTTTGAAAATATGCTAAAAAATTCAAAATCTTGATGTTGATGCAACAAAAAAGTCTTAAAGTTTGTTGACCTAAAATGACCTTTGACCTTAACTTAGTGACCTGAATTCTACTCACATGATTAGGGATACTTGATTACCCCATAGTCCAAGTTTCATTGACTAAGAACTTATACTTTCAAAATTATATCAAAAATTCAAAAACGTAACCTTAGGTTAAGTTTTCGATGATGCCACAACATAGTCTAAGTTTGTTGACCTGAAATGACCTTTGACCTTGATTTTGTGACCTGGAATTCCACTCACATGATTGGGGATACTTGATAACTCTATAGTCCAAGTTTCATTGACTAAGGTCTTATACATTCAAAATTATATAAAAAAATTCAAAAACTTAACCTTAGATTAAGTTTTTGATGTTGACGCCACCGCCGTCACCGGAAAAGCGGTGCCTCGTCTCGCTTTTTTGCTACGCAGGCGAGACAAAAATGTTGAAAATACAAAAGTTCCTAATTATTTCCAGACATTTTATATTTTTACAAAATAATCACATGACCAGAACTTTAAAAGAGGAAAAATATGAAATTTAGAGTTTATTTGACACTCGATGTTTAAGAACAGAATGTTCCTGATTATTCTGGAGTTGGCTTTATTCCACTTATTTGATATTTGCAAGATTTCTGAGGTGAAGCATCACTGTAAGTGGAGGACTTTGATTGCTTACGTTGTGTAACTGCTCCCTGAGTGAGGCATTCTGGGTAACGATGGCAAGTTGAGCCTCGAGATCACGATGGACTGACCTATGACCTGCGAGAGACATAAAGACACAATAAGCATATGCTGACAAACGTATGTAATGCCCTTTTTTTTCATACATATGATTTATCCTTCTTAGGTGAACAAGCTTTAAAGGTATTAAATACAAACTTTTGGGAAATTTTGAACATTGGATGGATAGTAATTCTTTACAATTTTGATATATTTGGATGCCCCTGTGGATGTATTATAAGCACGAGAAAATTAGCCCCTAAAACACTTCTGCTTTCGAGAAATTTAATTATCTAAAATTTACCGGTGCTCAAATTTCAAATATTTCAAATAGCGCCTATATAAGGCCATTCCATGGTAGCTGTGACCATGAAAATCTCAAAATCTGCAGTTCTGATATATAATTTCCAAACAGGAATAGCAAATCGGTCGATTGTAGTCCAGAAACATTGTTTTAAAGCTAAAGTAATATCAGTCATGAGAGGGAGCTATACAACATAAAGAGTTTATTTAAAATTTCATTACTTTAGACTCGATTTCAACCACGACAACAATGGTTGAATATTGAAAAATTGCATATGCTTCTAATATGTTCATTTGACTAAATTCATGACCCCGTACCAAAACTTTGTATTACTTTTGATGTGTCTGGGCTTCTATAAGTGACACTGATATCCTTGCTATAGAATGTTTTATGGGGGATGTTATAAAGTATAGTAATCTTAATAGAATCACCCTAAAATAAAAAATAAAAAATAAATTAGTCAGTATTTGGAACCAGGGCAATCTCAACACCAAAACCTTGCATTGTCCATTAAATTAGCTGGTGCCATACTATAAGCCTTTTTTAATGTAAAAAATTACACATGTAATTGGATCCAGAACACGCATAAGCATCATATCTTTAACATACAGTAATGCTAGACAGATATACCCTGCTTTCCAAAATCATAACGCAGACTTTGTTTCTTTGAAAATCCCATGATGATGACTACTCACCAAAGTTTGGAGATCCAATGAGAGTGAGAGAGGGAAGACTCTCTTCAGGGAGGTAATACCACAACCCTGTGAAAATAAAAGGTGAAACAGAATATTTGTTAAGAAAAGCTGAAGAATAATGTTTGATTATCACCAATTTATCTCTATATATCCGGTATGGACAAAAACATGCTGTATCTCCAAATATTAGCAATTTTTTCTATTTGCATGAGCATCGGCATGTAAATCATTCATAATATTAACAGCTACACTTTGTTGGTAAATTGAATGTTCCAGAAGGTTCATGAGATAGTCAATTTACCCACAAGAATTAGGACATACATGTAAATTTGAATACCTGCAACATAAGCTTATGGATTGGCGACTACTGGCAGCTAAATACAGGTAGTACATTGTACATGCATGCAGTATGCAGTTGTATGCTGGCAAAAATAAACCTTGCAGTGGCTTTCCACAGAGCCCAACCCCACCATACATGTACATGTCTTCTCTTCTCAGATACCAACATGCAATGTTGCTAACAATGGAACATCTGTGCTTTGTTCATGAGGAATGTCAAATTAACATCTGTCATGCATGAAGACCAGTCCCACATTGTACATTTCATCCTGGTCAATTAACATATATTTCAAAGAAATTAGGACATAGACTACATGTACAATAGACCTGATTTGTAATGTATCCCAACTTATGGATGTTTCCCACAAGAACCCTGGATGATGAGCTATTTATTCATAACCTTTGATAGCATCTGGATGGGAGGAACCTACTTTGCATACATTAGCTGTTGCTATGTCAGTTAATCTTCTGACATCCATTCAGAAAGTCAGAAGTATGCATAAATTTAGAGTTTAGATATTTTACATATTTTGGGCAAAGATACTGTATTTCTCTTGGAAATTGGGGGGGGGGGGGGGGGTCTATACAAGCTCTTCATATATCTTGCCTTTGAAATTTGAGGAGGGCATCATTAAAGGTGAAATTCAAAGAAGATCACAAATATTTGAACTAATGTATCACTAGAAACTGATAAGCTAACATATGGCCATCGTACAAGTTTTAGGTCAACTACATATCGGGTGATTTATAAAAAATACAAATACAACCATCTCCATAGCAGCTGGGATCTATGAGAGATTCGCCGGAAAAATAACGATGTTTTAATGACGTCACTATATGGACCAACACTGCCCAAGCAGACGACATCCCATAGACAATGAACATAATTGCACGGCTATCATTTCTCAAAATATAATGAGTTTAGTGTATATAAATGTAATGGCATATCAAACCATTTAAAAGGGGATATGACCTGATTCTGATAACTAAAATCTTTTGCTTGTAAATACACAGGATAGGGGTTAATTAACAATCAAAGAAACCAGACTTTCAAATTGAAAATCCCCCGGAATGATATTAAGGACGGCATTTGTTCCCTCTTGAAACGCCGAACATACCCCCGTGTGTGCAGCTGAATATACAATGGCATCCTTTTTTGTTTACAAGCGACAGATTCCTTTATTTTTGTATCGCTGCATTTTTCATCAAAATAAAGCCATGCGCAGAGTTTAGAGTGAGGCAATAGATTATACATTTAGCCTGACGGTAGTGAAGTAAGAGAAAGAACTTGAGAGAAGATGAAAACACAGGTACTAAAAAATGTGTGAGATGTCATGGGACATCGTCTGCTTGTGCAAGTCATGTCCATACTGTGATCTCACACATCTCAGCAGCGTTCGGAGAGTTCTTCAGGTGCTATGCCAGGGCTAAATTTAAGCGTTTTGTAATTTATAATAATCATTACTTCGATTGTTTCCAAGCATTGAATTTTGATAACCTTGTCGAATCAAAGTTTCAACTTTGCAATAATGAAAATAAAGTTAGTTTTTAAAATCAATGAATATCTACTTTAACAGTGTAAACTTCCATACTGTCAATTGACAATTGCTCTGCAGTAAATATCATATGTATGCTATTTTTATTTGTAACTTCAATCCTGAAACAAATAGTATGCCTTACCTTAATCCTAACCCTTAACTTTACTAAATATTGCCAGAACAAATGTCTGAACACCATTATTGCCCAGAGAGCACATGCCCAAGCACGGATCAATCACTTGCAAATCGCAAAAGGCAAGGAAAGCAATATGACCTACCTTTGACATGGAATGTCCATGCAACTCTGTAGAACTCATAGAGCGTTATCCTGCGCTGCTGTCGACCTTGGTGTATCGCCCTGAAGAACTCGCGTGCAATGAAGGTATAGGAGTGGGGGATGTATCCTGATATTCCACGGGAGCCATAGAATCCATTCACCTGCAAATAGCAAAAGAAGGGCATAATCTCAATTTATATCTTAATACAGTTCACATAAGTCACAATACACTTCAACAGTTACAGTAAAGGTGCATAAAATACAAGATAGGAATTAGAAGGTTCCTGTCAACTTTGTAAGGGCTTTCTTTTTAGTGAAAAATACGTCACTTTGAGAATTAAAAATGTTACACTGAGGTTGGTTACTGATGTCAACTTTAACACCATACCCCAACTAATTCATAAGAAAAGATAAAACTATTTTTTCATTAATAACCTGTTTTCCTCTCTCTCTCCCTCTCTGTTTCTCTTTTTTTTGGGGGGGAGGGGGGATGCTAGATTCGGTAAGATTCTTATCACTTATTTTTGAGACAAAAATATTAATGGTCACTCGTTCAACTGAAGCATATCAAATGCTGTGATTTCATGTCAAAAGAAGAACACACAATTGTGCAAACATTGCATCATCATGAATATTCATAATAGAACACACACTTGTGCAAACATTGCATAATCATGAGTGTACCTACCTGGGAGAAGCCATCAGCATTTCAAAGGTAGCATTCGACTGCAAGATGGTGTCCATGTACTCTGAGGTAAGGTTGAAGTACCCTGATGCCAAGTAGCACACTGCTTCTGGATCCCCTTCACCTAGCAGCTGCCTGGTGACCTCCTGGTCTACCGTGATACCCAGAGGACCCATCTGAACCAAGGGATAGATCACCGTGTCAGCCTCCTTGATGTCTTTGGTGCAATCCTCAAGGCTTTTTGTTCCCTGAGATGCCGTTGCTTTAGTGTCATCCAACGTTCTTTGTCTGCTATTTCCTACAAACGGATGGGCATCCTGTCCCCTGACATGTATGGCGTCCTCATCCTGCAACTGAACCTTGACCTGATCCACAGTTTCCTCCACAGAGTTATGATCAGTTCTACCCTGTCTCAAATCACCATGACAACCGTCTCCCTGAGATTCTACTGACCCATCTGTTACGTCTCCTTCATTGCACTTACTAGTTCTTTCATTTGCAGAAGCATCAAATACATAATGCACACCTCCCGACTCTTGTGCGACTAAAACACTACCTAAGGAAGATTGCACTGTTTTGTGATCTGTGGTTGCGTGCCCTAGCTTGCTTTGGTCAGTTCTACATTCTCGTTGATTGTTCATTGCGCAATCGCTTTTACTGCTACCTGTGACTGTCCTCTGCCACTTTTTCAATGAACCTAAGCTATGGTCATGCTCATGGGATTCTAAAACATTCTGTATTTTGTTGAATGCTCTCAACTTGAACTCCTCCAGGTCTCCTGAAATACAAAATTAAGTGAAACAAATAAATCAAGATTTAATGAGATCATATTAAAAGTTTACCTTTCTGAAGAAAAAGCATCAATTATACAAAACAATATAGAGTCCTAAACTCCTCACAGAACACTGACAACATTTGACAAAATTACATGCAACCTGGTCGCTATAAAATAATAAATTTGTTATAACATTCTGATCAAATGCTATTTGGAGATTATATTTCCGCTAAAGGTACATACCTTTTTACTAAAATTTACTATGTTTCATTAACTGGCAAACAGAATCGTGAATGGATAGTTTGGTACCTAAAATCACTACTATCATCGCTCATCAAAAGTTTGATCAATTTAAAAAAAATTGGAATGTGCAATTCCAGTACATTGGTGAAGACTCAAGAAGAAGAATCAAGCACTCTATGAAAATAAGACAGAAAATATCCCACCTTCAAATGGATGAATACTGTCTGCTGAATGGAGAGTTAGGGAATTGTCCGGATGGAGTTGGAAAGACAGAGAGCTGACCGCAAGAACCAGCTCGTTGAAAAAGTTGACCAACTCTGGACAGTTCTTGATGAGGATGTACCGGTCTTGCCTGTTAGTGAAGTACATCTCACTTAAATTGGCCCTGCAAGAAGAAAAAACATTGACATGACAGCGATTCAGCATAATTGCAGTGTATTATTGAATTTTTAGTTTCTTCTAATTTTATAAAAGTCTGATGAAGGAATGTAAATTGCTTCTAATCACCACTGAAAACTAAATGTGAATCAAGTATGTGTTTACTAATAAAAAAAGAAATCTTTAAAATAAAAAAAGTTACTGCATCCTTTCTTTATTTCTAACCATCAAGAACAAAATGCAATTTTTATGTATAATTGTCTTTCGTTACATGCACCAACAAGTATTTGTCGTACATGAGTAACTATTAAAGTTGAATTCTTCTGCGTTACCCAAGTATCCTTGCAGAAAATAGAAATTTTAGAATTCATTTACTCTTTCCCCTGTTCTTTTCCTGCTATTTACATTTGCCACATTTTTGCTACATTTGCCACTCTTCACCCGGTAGGATGCAAAAGTTAATGTGGTAAGATGAGCAAGTATCCGCTTGTAAAAATGACACCTGGCTGGAATGCTCCTGAGGCAGTGGAGAATGTGCATTCATTGTGTGCGGGTAAGCCTGAATCCGATGTACAATAATATATATCTAAGAAGTGCTTTGAGAGGGCCTGCGGTCCTGAAATGCGCTATTTAAGAACTATTATTATTATTATTGTTATTGCTTCTCACCCTGACATCAGCAGAGTGTCATCAAAGGTGTACACTTTGAGATGTGAAAGACCGATGGCTTCGTTGAATCTCTCTGGGATGAGGGCCTTCTTTGCACCCCTCAGCTCCGGGGTGTGGTAGAGTGATACAGTCACTTGATCCCGAAAGTCCTTCAAGAGCGGCTGCAGCATGGTGCGGGAATTCTTCACTCCTCGTGATCCCCGTACGCAGTCCAGTAGGACATGAATGCTCAATTCCTCCCCTTCGCTCTCGGCTCTCTCGCAAGCATCATGTATGGATTTCACCTGCAAGATGAGTGGAAATTCAGTTGAATCGTGTCTGTTATCTCACTGACTCTTATTCCTACTTGAATTACATGGAAAATCAATTAAGTGAGTAATAATAAACTTGCTAACTATATGTGACCCACTAAATCAAAGCTACATATAGGCACTTGTCGCTGAATGTTACCTCCTATAAACAGTGCAAATATGTGAAAAACAAACTCAAAGTCATATGAGATGTTGTTAGCATTGGAAAGGACATTCTGATACAGCAAATATATTTTCAAATTTTCAATACGAAATTGGTCAAAAATGTAAAAAAGACATACTATTACATTCACTCTCGTAGTAAAGTATCTCACTTGTTTTAATCTACTTCAATACATTTGTAGGCAATAAATTAAATGCTGTAATTAATTGCTTTATCAATAATCTAGAGCATTCTAAAATTGATGATCAACTGAAATCAGTTAAAACAGAAGGACAAAATCTTGACTTTACTTAGAGCAACCTGTCAGTAAAATATAATAAAGGATGTTTCTTACCAGCTCTTCTTCCATTGGCCCATCACCGAGGTAGAGAGAAGCTAGGACTATGCTCTTCTTTGACAAACCGATATTATCCTAAGATGAGGAAAACAGAGAATCTTCACAGATGAACAAAGTAGACAATTGTTACATAAATCTTTTTTATATAAGTTTTTATACATATGCACAGTATGAGCACCGGTATGCATTTGTCCAACCATAAGCAATAGACCGGGGGCCCATTTCTTGAAACCATCATGACTACAAGATCGACGACATCTCGACACTGTCGCTCAATTTGTCAGCTAAGATATGTTGCACCAAGGTATTGTTTTGTTGTGAATTAATTACTGATACAGAATTGACACCCTTGATCGTCATAAAACAGGCAATTCTAATCACTGAAATATTTTGAAAAAGATCATTGAAAGAGGTATCATAAAACTCATTTCATGTATGTTTTACATTCTTCAACTTTGCAATCAGCAAATTACAGTCCGGTACAAGTTCAAAAAATTTTCTTATCAAACTCAAAAGTTTTTTATTTTTCAACACTTCTTACATCTACAGAAATGTATGGACAAAAACATCCAGACTTTTTCTTCTTCCTTGCTATTTAGGTAGAGGCCACCATCTGGTGGTGCTTTGCAAGTGTCTCAAATCAAAGGCCTTAAAAGGAGGAATATGTAAAAGCTTCACTTCAAAGATCTGGGACCTGTTTCACAAAGCCTTTTTTCAATGACAAATGACAAAAATCAGTGACAAATCTGCTAACTACCAATCAGAAGCAAGTTTTTTAGTAGCTTATAACAAAAAAACTGTCATTTGTGACTGGTGACAAGTTTTGTGAAACACCCCCAGATTGAGACGAACCTTGATTGCATTGTAGAACTCTGATGGTTCCTGAAGGACAGTTATCTGCTCTCCACTGACTCTGAATTCAGGAGCTCTCAGCTTCAGCCACTGGAAGGGCAGACGTTCGGTCCCATCTGCTGCTGACGGTCTGGTCGGTCTCATCTTGAAGCTGGAATATGCCACTCCAATCACAAAATGTTTTTTCGCCAGTGAATGTCTGACTTTCACCAAACCCCTCATCTGCTTGATGAACAAACAATGCATGGTGCTATTTTCCTTGTATCAGTCAGTAAATCTAATTCAGATAGAAAAGAAAATACAATAATCTCATGATATTCCAAAATTTACCTTTGAAAAGAAAAGCATTAATTCCAGAGCAATTTATCTCAAGATCATGACTTTCTTAAAGTAAATGAGATTAAGATTTAACATGTTACCTGTAGATATTCTGTTTGGTCATTTCATACAGAATTAAATGTAAATTATATGATATACAAAATTGAGTAAATTTGCACTTCATAACAAAATTCTGAGTGAGTATTTAAATTCATTGACACTCACACTATTGCTCTAAAAGTGATTATCCTGCATTTTTCTTGAAAAACAAAATGGATAAAAAGCAGTTTCAGGCATGCATGCAGCATAAATTTTCAGCTCAGCCTTGACCTTGGGCTTTATAGTAACTGGCTTTCTCTCTCTCTCTCCATGTCTCAGCTTTAGTAATAATAGCTAGTACTAGTAGATTAGTGTAAAATGGCATGTGCGCAAGGGAGTTCCCTAAATTCAGCGATCTCTGTGCGTTTGTATACTAAACTAATCACTATTAAATACACTCATTATAAAGTATTAAATTGGCATCTCCCTTCATTTTGAAAAAAAACATCATAAAATTAGAAAATGGCAGAACATAGCTGAATACGGTCAGCCCAAAGTTTGATACTGCAGGTTTTACAAAATATTGCGTGAATGTACTGCAGTATGGCGGTGTGATCTAAGTTTGCGCATGACCAAAGTTCGCTTTCACAAAAAAATCGGTAAGATTTCGAAAATCTGATATCACCAATGGAAAAGAGGATCATAAAATTACCCAGAAACAAAATTTTCTTTAGAATTGGGTGCGAAATTGTAAAAATTTAGACAAAAGATCAGCAAATTTTGCAGTTATTTGCGTCCGTTCTAAAAAATATCAATTTACCGATAAGGGTCTGGAAATCTTCATTTTGAGAGCAGAAATCCTCAAATTGTAAGTAAAGAGTGGTACCAACTGATTGTACGATATCTTGCCTTGCAAATTATGATAGGTCTATTACCTTATTTTTGATGGATCACATTTTTTGATAAATCAACTGTAAACCACCATGCGTGAAGTTAGGTCTCTTTGCTTTTATGACTTTTTTAGATGCTGCGCGCACACACGATCGGACATCAAATTTTTAGATCGCGATATCTCTGAAATCCTTCGACAGTAAATTTTCTAGTTGGAACTAATCTGTAGACTAGAGTAAAGGACCCGGTTTTCGGCCACTTAAGACAAAATCCTATTTTTTGGCAGGTATCCCACGTCGGAGCTCCCGGGTGCTCGCCTGGCCGAAGACAGGCACAGCGGTGATCGGAAGTTAGAATCTGAATTAGACAGACATATTGTGTGTGCGTGGGGGGGTCCGGCTGCATTGATTTAATACATGCGATGAGATACTTTTGAGCTTGCGACCAACACAAAATCGGGCTCTAAATCTGAAAAATACTTGAAATAAAGCTCATTTTATGGTACCCATATTTCTTACATACACGCGTAAGAAACTCGATTTTTCAGATTTGGGTAGAGGGACCGCCGATTACATCGCTAAAATGTGATATTTTAGGATATATTTTCCATCGCAAATGTGGTTCTTCAGTGACTCTGGCATGGTATGGTATGTGTGGGATATGTGATATGCTATTATGCGATGTATTTTAAAGGGATTTTACCATGCATCCAATGGATCGGCCGAAAACTGGAGCTGTCCGATTACCGGCTCCTTTACTCTAGTCTAGTAAAAAACTTTGCCGTCCATTTGGTAATAATTGAAATAAATAAATTTGTGTAGAATATGAGAAATCATAGATCGAATATCACATTTTGTAATAGATCTATGTTCTAAAATGTCCGCGAACTTTGGTCGCCCATTCATACAGTAGTGCCCACCAAAACGCAACCATACATAAATTAGAGTGCATGGGACACATGCAGTTTCACTACCCAGTTTCATAGCTTAGGACTAGAGCTGATGGCTGAAACTCCCTGAAAGACATCTAATAAAACAGTTACATTGAGATAAATAAATAGTCTTTGATACCACAATGTGATATAAATACGTACAGAATCATCTGTTGATCATGAGATGAGAAAGCTGGAAAACTCCACAGATCGCATGAATCGAATCTTGGGAATAAATCATGAATATTCATGTATTACATCATAAATGCAGGGAGCTAGCCGAGAGAGAGAGGGAGAGAGAGAGAGAGAGGTTTTTTTTTTTGTTATCGGGGGGGGGGGGGGCATCGCCCTACAGCCTATAGGATGGTAGTAGGAGCCTAGGAGGCAGGGTGGTAGTACAGGTAGGGCGGTAGTAGGAGATATGGTGGTGGCAGAGTTATGATGCCAATTAAAAAAGATTCAAAGTGTGTTCTGAGGTCATATTTATTGCAATTTTGGAAATTTTTTAGGGAATGCGTGAGACAAGTTAGAATGGGGCGGGGAACTAGGCGCGTACACAGGGGGGGGGGGGTGTTTGGGGGTTAAACCCCCCCTTTGGTATTTTTATGTGTGTAACCCCCCCCCCCCCCTACCATATCACCACTCCCTAACCCCCCCCCCCCCCCCCCCCCCCCTTTGGATTTTTTTTTTTTTTTTTTTTTAATTATTAAAAAAATTTTTTTTCCCATGACTGACCTAAAAAGGTGACCTTACCCCCCCCCCCCTAACGGAGCCAAATGTCAAATTTTCAAATTTTGAGACCAAAAAAAAAAAAAAAAAAAGTTTCCTCTTACCGGGTCTTGCCCCCCCCCCCCTTCCACAAAAGAGAGAGAGAGAGAGAGAGAGAGAGGGGGAGAGGGAGGGAGAGAAGGAAAGAAGGGAAAGGGAAAGAGGTGAGAAAGGAAAAGAAAGAAGAGGAAGAAGAAAAGAAAAGGGTGAAGAAGGAGATCGGGGGGGGCCGGGGGTGCGAAAGGGCCTTGCCTCCCAGGCTGTTGCCTCCCCCGCCCCCGCTAAAAAAAAGAGAGAGAAGGAAGGAAAAGGAAAAAAGGAGAGCTAAAAGGGACCAAAAAAGAGGAAGAAGAAAAAAAAGGGTGAAAAGAATTTCGATGCGGTGTTCGAGTACAATTCTGTGAGATGATGATATACTTTCTCGTAGCTTGATGTGACGAGGTGTCTCTATCCAGATATCTGTTGATAGTATTATAGAATATAGAAGCCTGAAATGACCTTCTGCTCGTAACCGACAAGTCACCGCATTGAAATTAAATTGCAAATAGTGTTCAACAACACGATGGTGGATGAAACTTTCTAATATTCGAAGATATATGACCTTCAGACCATATTATTTCATTATTTTTTATTCAATCAATCAACGTCAAGAATTGATTTATCATCGCTCTTCAATTTATTATTTCACCTTTTAATGTACTTTCATTCTTATGAATCACGAAAGAACACTGAATTGGATTCTTTAATGTTTGTTTTGATTAATTTCCTCCCCTTTTCTTCTCCCTGTTTAATACTGATAAAATTTCAATTTTTCTTAATCAAGGCAAAATATTATTTTCATATTTTCTTTATGCAAGACAGGAAGAGAGAGAGAGAGAGAGAGAATATGTTAAGTGAGAATTATCGAGTACAACTATGGATTGCATCATTTTCAATATTATTCAATTCGCTGAAAATATTCAGAATATGAATATGATAAATCCTCATAATACACCAACGCTGTTCAACGCATCCAACGCTCCAACCATAGCACATACGCCAATGCCCCATATTTCTCAATATGAAAAGATTTTTAAATGAAATTTGAAGAAAAATCAAATTTACAATGCACTGACAGGCATCAGTTGAAATCATGAATTCTCTGTGACTGGCTTAGCACTAGTTTCTGAGGGACCAGTCACTAAAGAGGAAATAAAGGGAAGGAAAATTGAGAAAGAAGTAAATAAAAGAAGGGGGATATCAGTTGCAATTTTCCCGCCAACAACTTCCGGATCGGGATGGGGGTGGGGCAAAAGGCCTTTGCCTCCCCCGGGAAAATGAAAAAAGGAGAGCTAAAGGGACCAAAAGAGAGGAAGAAGAAAAAAAGGGTGAAAAGAAGGGGAGATAGAAAACCTAAAAGAGAGAGAGAAGGAAGGGAAAGGAAAGGGAAAGAGGAGAGAAAGGGAAAGAAAAAAAAGAGAAAGAAAAAACGTAGGGGAGATCAGTTGCCAACAAAGTGTAAATCAGGGGGGGGGGGGCACTGGCGTACTGATTGGGGAGGGGGCTCGGGGGAAGTAAAATTCAAACGTGGTTTATTTCTAATTCCATAACGGTGGTTTACACATAATGCTGAAATGACATAATTTTCCGAGATTTTTTAGTAAATTATACTTTTTTATGCGTTTGTTGTAAAATGACACATTCCTAAATTTACAGCCAGGCAAGAAATATGCTTCTTGAGATGCCTAGTGGCCTACACGTCAGGGCCCGCGGAACGGCGGGGATCGGGAGCCTTGAGGCCCCCCCCCTCCACTTTAAAAAAAAATAATATATAAAGAGAAATGAAAAGAAAGAAAAAATAGTTAACTGCCAGTGTCACAACAAAATATGGTATTAACCGTAATTAAACGCCTAAAATCCCTGAGCTTCCGGGGCTCTGACCCTGGACCCAACTGAGGGCCCTAAGTCGGGCCCCTTGATACTCAGCTGACCGTAATTTAGTGCCTAAAACCCTTGAGCCGAGTCGAGAACGGTACAGCGAATCGTCTTCTTTCTTTAATAATTTTAATGAAACGTCAAAGCTTTCGCGCTTCGCGCGGGAGGGGGGGGGGGGGGGGGGTGGACCGAATTCAGACAAGAATTAAGAATCGAGAATGGTACAACGAATCGTCTTCTTTCTCTAATACTTTAATGAAACGTCAAAGCTTCCGCGCTTCGTGCAAGAGGGGGACGGGGGCTGGCTTCAGACAAGGATTAAGAGTCGAGAACGGTACAACGAATCGTCTTCTTTCTCTAATGATTTAATGAAACGTCAAAGCTTCGCGCGGACGGGGGGGGGGGGGGGGGGGGGGGATACAATGAATTCAGACGAGTACTATATTATTTTCGAGAACGGTACAACGAAACGTCTTATTTCTCTAATATTTCAATGGAACGTCAAAACTTCCGCATATCGCGCTCGAGGGGGAAACTGAATTCAGACGAAGTTTATGAGTCGAGAACGGGCAACGAATCGCCTTCTTTCTTTAATGATTTAATGAAGCGTCAAAGCTTCGGCGCTTTGCGGAGGAGGGAGTGGGAAAATCGCCCCTCCCTGCACCCCCCCAATTACGTCAATGCTGGTTACCATTACGTACCAATATTTGGCTCGCATAATTTCAAATTCCCCCCCCCCCCCCTAAGAAATCCTGGATCCGCGCCTGCCCGTGATGACATTCTCTCCATTTCTTCCCGTTCTGCACATAATGTCGTCCTCATTATTTGGAGCAACCTTATTTACATTCTTTCTTTACTTTTAGTCTTTACCGTATCCTTCCAAAACAAGGGGCCGATCTAGCTTTTTGCTAAGGGTACGGGGGGGGGGGGGGTAAACCAAATACGATGTGGAGCATCGTCCACGAGCCGCAAAGCGGCGAGGCGATTTTTGGTGCTATATTTTGAACCCCCGTTAGTGATGTTTGCCTGGCATCTACTGAAATCTACTACTATTGTGTAGGTCTGGACACATGATAGCATTTTTCTATGCACATCACATTTTCACTTGGCAGCCCAAGGGGGATCGGGGGATTAAACCCCCTAAACCGCCTAGATCCACCCCTGCAACATCTTTGCTGATCTTCTTCTCAATATTGATTTATTGGTCGAGTTACATTATTTGCCTGTCTTTTAGAACAACCAGATTTCAGAGGATTCACACTTTTCACAACGAAAAACTTCTCCATGTTTCAGTCCTTGCGCGATCGTCTCCAGCTCCAGCAGATATTGGGCGTCAGCGTGCCCCGGCCCCCCCACTCAGGTTTCAAAATGACCGCATGCGTGTTGCCAAAATGTCCTTTTCGTAACAAAAGAAAAAGTCGAGCCGTATTGACTTTACACACCGGACTTTTGCTGAAAAGGGGGGGGATGCTGAAAAAGGCTCGTATACAAAAGAAAAAAGGTCGAGCCGTATTGACTTTACACACCGGACTTTTGCTGAAAAGGGGGGGTCGGTTGGAACACGCATATGCGTACCCTAAATAACACTGAGTGGGGGGGCCGGGCAGCGTGCACACCGGTACGTACTACAAGCGCAGTATATGACGGCCGCATTAGCTGTGCACTGCGAGCTTCCGTTGTTTGTATCGGTAATACTCATAGAGATGGGAGAGAAAGCGCCATCTAAGTTCCATTTCATTGGTTTAAGGTATGAAAATTGATACTCAATATTGTGTTAAAGTTATATAAGAAAAGATAATCTTTTTTTATAATTCCACGGGGGTGATTTTTTATTTTGCAATCGCCCCCGTGGGCAACCTGACGGGGGCGATTATGGAGCTCACGAGGGCGAATCGCCATCGCCCCCGTGTATTTTGAGCGCTGCTAAGACGGCTCCTGAATGCTCATCTGACCGTAGTTAAATATTAAAACCTCTGAGCTTCTGGGGGCTCTACCCCCCTTGGAACACGTCGATTGCCTTACAGAGGGCCCCCTTGATGCTCATCTTACCGTAATTAAATACCTAAAACCCCTGAGCTTCCGGGGGCTCAGCCCCTTGACCCCCTGCCGAGGCTCATGCCCTGGACCCCACGCAAATTTACGCTCTACCTGATCGATAATATTCCACTTTGAAAAACGTTCCGCGGGACCTGCATGTAACGTGTAAGACTGGTGGTGATGCAGATTTTTCGTCTGCCCCCCCCCCCCCCTTCCGAACTTTTTTTCTCATTACGTCACTGCCCCTGGAATGTTTGCCCCCTGGAATGTTTGCCCCCCAGTCCCAACTGCTTCCGGCTTCCTGAATTCAAGTTTTATTTGGACACTTTCCATATTTGATTAACATGATGTATGGGCATGTGAGCTATGATTGGAGCGTTTGGTGATGTTAAAATCGTTGGTGTTTTATGTGGATTTATCATATTCAGATTCTGAATATTGGCAGAAAATTGAATCATATTGACAAGGATGCAATTCATAGATGTACACGAGAATTGTCAGCTTATAATTCTCCCCCTCTCTCTCTCTCTTGCATAAA